AAATCTATTCCTCATAAAAATAATTATTTAGAAAATATTTTTTAGAAATTAGTATTGTAACAGTATACTCCAGGATTTGTATTTATGGGCTAATAATGACATGTCTTGGCAGCTAATGGCACTCCGCCTTTGACTTTTGTGCATAAACTCTAATGTGGATCATAATGCTATCTAACATACACCCTATTGTATCTTATTGCTTAAGTAAAATTATATTACACAAAGTAAATTATGTTTAGTAACTATGAGAAAAGAGACCATTCCATCTTAAATTAAAATGTATATGTATATATTAATCAGTTAATTACTTTGTTTTTAGATAAGTCCCAAAAGTGATGTTTGGTCATTGGGATGCATTTTATATTCTATGACTTATGGGAAGACACCGTTTCAGCACATAACAAATCAAATCACTAAACTTCATGCTATAATTGATCCTAGTTTTGAAATAGAGTTCCCCGATATTGCAGAGAAAGATCTCCAGGATGTGTTAAAGGTAACTTTCTTCATTTTTATTTTTTTTTAAAGTTGGATTCAGATTCAAGTGATGGTTCTTCCTTTATAAGACTATTGTGACTCGACTTCTTTTGAAACACTTTCTAATTTGGTTCCCAAGTGGGCATAATTCTGATTGTGCATGTACTTTTGGGTCTGACTGCCAAAATGAAGATTAATGCTAAAGCTAATTATGTGGGTTCCTCTAGTTTGAGTATAGTTTTTCGTGCAATTTGCAAATGTGATCAGCAGCATGATCTGGTTGATTTAGCTGAGTCACAGTAGAAGTTCAACATATGCTCTGTACGGGGAGGGGGCAAATGCTTTTTGGAAGAGAATCCAGTTCAGTGGCCAAGTGTGCTGTATTAACAGGGAGTATGGATTCAGGTCCATCCAGACATTCCTCTTGACCTGGCAAAGGCAGTTAACCTTTTTAGAGATTGGTTGAGGGGGCAAGGAAACTTTGATATTTGTGGAACGTGAACTGAGAAACATAATGGAAATACTAATGATTATAATTGTGTTGCGTAATATAAATCTAGATCACAACATTTGTACTACTTGATTCCTTTTTAATAACAGGCATGTTGTATTGGATTTTCAAAATTTATGTTCTAGCATTACAGCAGTTCCCCAATAGTTAACGTTGGCAATGTTTTCTGTTTAATGATTAACTTTTCTGGAGGCTCTAAAATCCACGTGTTTATTTGGATTGTCTTTAACTTTGCTATGCTTCACGAGGGTACGGAATTGATTTTTTTTGTTTTTGTTTTTAAGTTTAGCTGACATTTTTGAAAAACAAGTAGTCCTGACTCTGTAGCAAAGGATAAATGGACACTAATAAGAAATCAGAAATGGTAACACACACAAACCTGTAGAAGAATATTTTAACCTGCCTGGTCACTCAATCATGGATTTAAAAAGTAGCCATTCTTCTACAAAGGAATTTCATTATCCAATTACGGAGAGAGACTGCAGAATTGGAATTCATCTACAAGTTTGACACTGTTACCCTCATCTTGAATAAAGACATTAACTAGTTGATGCATTACAAAAATAATTTCCCCTACCTTTAACATCCACATTTTCACATCAAAAGCTATGAATGGGACACATCAAGCCCATTTAATTAGCCTTATTAACACGGGTCATACTATTGACAGGCACTTCTTTTGCTGTTATATATAACTCTTGGTTTCTGTTATTTCCACTCTAACTCATCTGATGAAATGGGTTTTACCCACAAAAGCTCATGATCCTATGTATTTGTGTTAGTCTGTAAGGCACCACAGGACTACTCATTCTTAAAGTTACAGGCTAACATAGCTGCCCCTTTGAGAATTTAAAAAAAAAATTGGGGGAATGGTTTCTCATTGAACTAAATGTCTTGTTTTGTCTTGGTTTTATGTTTTGATAAAATTGAAGGAAAATTTGAAACAGTCATTTAGAATAGATTTTTTTCCTATACAAATTTGTGAAATATTTTAGTGAATCAGAATCTGCATTCTGAGTGTAAAATTTTTCTCAAAATAATTTTCCCAGTTCTATTCCTAACTAAACTGTCAGAATACTTTGGCCTTTACAACAGGAGATCCTCTTACTCCTGATGCCTGGTTACGAAGGAGTAATATTACAGGAGTATTTCAGTTTCTGGGAAGAGGGGATTTCTAGGCATCTTAGTTTAAAGATATGAAGACCTATACATGTGTTATAGCTTCCTTCCTGTTCAACAAATACAGCCAATATATTATCTTGCCAAAACAAATTTTTATAAATTATAGATTTATACATGGAAATCAGCATAACTGTAATGATTTATGAAACAGAGCATGTATATTTAACTGCAGAAAACCTAGCTTTAAATATTTACCCACAGCACTAATTTTTTCAATCTTTTTATTTTTGTAGCACTGCTTAATAAGGAACCCTAAACAAAGAATATCAATTTCTGAATTGTTGACTCATCCATATGTGCACATTCAAACCCATTCACAGACAGGTAATGTTTATATTAAAATTATATGATAATAAATTAGCAAACATTCTAGATTTTTCTAAATTTATTTCTAAAAAGATAAATGTCTTTTTTGTTTTAATTCTCCAATTTGAGTTATGTATAAGTGTTTCTGGTATACTTGTGTATATAATGGCAAAGGCTGCAGTATCTTAATTCTGTAACTTTTGTATAGTCAAAATAAGACTCTGCATTTTGAAAATAACACTTAAAATGCAGGTTTCAACATATCTTTTTTTGAATAACTGTAGGTGGTCTGAATACAAAAGGAACAACTGAAGAAATGAAGCGCATCCTTGGCCAACTTATTGGTCTGAACTCTCCTAACTCTATCTCTAGAGCTGCTAGAGTGAGTAGTTTTTGTATCAATCTAATGTTCACATTTCATTAAAATATAATCAGCTAAGTTAAAATAAGTGTGTATCACAAAGCTAATATGAATACATATTTCAAATCCTTATCCCCTCTTACAGAAGAACTGTGCAATACTGTCATGGAACTTGCAGCTTAGTAAATCACCATTTCTTATGATCCTCTGGAATGGATTGGGAGTTAGGGTGGTGATGGTTACAAGATTTTTTTTTCTCATCTCCTTGCCCTGTCTAGTAAACGTTTTTCCCTAGTTTTGCTGTGCCAACTACCGTTTTCCTTTCTCTCTCTGTCCCCTGTGATGCAGCCCAGTCATGTTACTTGTGGTCAGAGCAAAAAAACAAGTTGCTGTGAAGTGGGCTAGCACTGCAGCACTTTCCTGCAATCAGTATGTATGAATGAGCAAATTTTCATGTGTCCATCAGGCAGCCGATCCAGATGCAGAATTTTCTCTCTGCTGTTTTTCCTCCTCCATGGTGTTCAGGCATGCTTCCCCAGTTACGCCTTTTCCTCTCTGGAAGCAGCTAGAACTCTTGCCAAGGCATCCCTTTTCTTCCAGGCTTCAGAAGAGCTCCAGATGACATTCTAGAAAAAGATGGAGCAGCTTAAGAGCAGTTTAAAATGTGCTTCCTTTTCCTCTCCCTGCCATCTTAAAGTCCATTCTGCCAACTTTTCCTACTCCACAATCACTCTGAGGTTTGGAGTGCCTTTGAACTTGGCAACTGTACTCTGCTTTATTAGCACTCCACCCCAGTGAAATGACTCACTGCTCCCAGCTCCCCACAGACATGCAAAAGGTTTTCCAGGAGGGCTTAGAACCAGTCTGGGACCTACAAGAAAATGGGAGAGCTAGGGGACACTGTCTTAGTGGGGGAGCCTCTTTCTCTCCCAGTAGGGAATCACTTCAGTCTGGAGCCCTGGCCTTCCTGCTCTTGTCTTTTCCATAGAGAATTTTCTCATCTCACTCTCTTAAAAAAAATTACCCAAGAGATCTTCTATTTCCCAGTATGACCTCTCTCTGTCTTCCTTTGTTTTTGGGAACTTTTTCCAGTATCTTTAGGCCACCGGGGATCTAATCCTTCTTTTTATACCACCCCAATTCTAGTACTGTTTTAATCCTGTCTTCCTATTAATGTCTCCATTTGCATATATTTATAATTTTAGTGCTTGGTTTAGATTGTACTCATTATTGTCTAACTGTTTTAATCCTGTCTTCCTATTAATTTCTCCATTTGCATATATTTAAAATTTTAGTGCTGGGTTTAGATTGTACTCATTATTATCTTTTGAAATAATTTTGTACACTATAACCTCCTTTATTACAAACATCATTTGAATAAGTAATTCTTAGAATGATTGTTTCTATCCCTTTATCTTTTTAAATTTCAGACTTTATACGAGCAATGCAACAGTGGTGAAAGTCTTGATGTATCTGCATTTACAAAACCTGGCAGTCAAACACGGATAAAGAAATGACATGCAATAATGCATTCTTTACTAGAAATGTGTAAAATAAATTTCATAAAAATACATATTGAGCTGCTCTTTGCGGGGGAAAGGCACTGACAGCATAAACATCCTATTTTTAAAGTAATGTTATTATCTCTGTTGCTAATAATGCCATAGACTATTGATACAGAATTATTTAAAACTCTAATACACTCTTTGCCATCTACTGTTTGTTTACCATTTGCATATCATTCTGGTTAAATAGTAAAAATGAGCTAGTCCATCAAGCTTTATGGTTCTGATAGTGGCACAAGATTATAGTTTTTATTAAAAATATTTGTATAGCTATGTCTAAATTTAAAAAAAAACAACCTTTTGATGAAACTTTAAAAAGAAGGGGGAGGATTTTTAGATTTCTATAAAAACCAAATTGTGGATCTGAAGCAAGGACTTTGTCAGGTACAAGTACACTTAGAAGGTATATTCTACAGTTTTGTTTTTTGTTAAACATAGTCAATATCAGTGACTTTCTTTATATCAGTGGATTGTCTTAGACTTTCAGAAAACAAGTGCTTCTGTAATATAAAATTGCTAAAACACAGCATTGTTGGTTGATGCAAGTAAATCTTAACATCCTGGCTTGAGATGTTTAGTTGTAATTGGATGATAAATGGCACACTGGAGGTATTGGTAAAACTCAGAAGAACATGTAAATAAAGTGGCACTGTATACAATTGATTCCTTGTAAACTCAATTTTCTAGATGATGCTTTTTTCCTAAGAGAAAAATATTCTAAGAAAAATACTTAACTAGTTTTTTTGGTCAGAAAATACCTAACATTTAATACTAGTTTTAAAGAAACCTCTTCAGTTAAAGCACTGTTCTGAACTTTGTGTAAGAGGCTTTAAAAAGGTGGTAGACCTCAGACAATGAGCTGAAATAAAAAGTCCAAAGAGGAAGCTTGTGCCATGATATTTTATACTTTTTTGCTGTTACACTGTTTTGAATATGTACTGTTGTAAACAGTAGCTTAGAAACATTTTTCAATTTTAAATACTTAATGAATTTTAAGTGTGCTTAAATAAATTAGTAAGAGTAATCAGATCAGTAATTTACTTTTTTCTTTAAAGGTAAATATTTTAAGGTTTTGCCATCCTTAAAATTGTGCTGTTAAAAGCTAGCTGACAAGCTAGATGTTTCTTAACTTCTTGCACAAGCATTTTTGATAACACAATATATGCATCATGGAGATATATATAGATGGATCATGTTTTCTTTTAGCGTCCTTTCCTCTAAAGCAACATTTCCCAAAGTGTGGTCCGTGGCCCAGTACCGGTCCTTAGAAAACTTGTCGTGCATGATCCTATTAATTTGTGTGATGGGTTAGCAGCACCCCACACTGCCAATCACAGCGGCGCAGCCCTCTTGGCATGCTCCTGGGCGGTGGGGCTAGATCTGTGGGGGCTAGGACCCAGAGAGAAGGCTTGGAGCCGTGTGCGCTGATTTCCCAAAGTGTGGTCCGTGGCCCAGTACCGGTCCTTAGAAAACTTGTCGTGCATGATCCTATTAATTTGTGTGATGGGTTAGCAGCACCCCACACTGCCAATCACAGCGGCGCAGCCCTCTTGGCATGCTCCTGGGCGGTGGGGCTAGATCTGTGGGGGCTAGGACCCAGAGAGAAGGCTTGGAGCCGTGTGCGCTGACGCAAAACGCCTGGCACGGCGGGCCAGAAAACGGGGGGGGGTTGGCAGTCGGGGGGGGGGGGGCGGGAGACAATCTGCTGGACAGATAGAACCAGCAACACAATTTGTTTGTATATTCATCATTTGGTTAATGAACATGCAAATATTCGAATAAATGTTACCAGTTCTCCAAAACCTTGTGAATGGGTTTACTGGTCCCCTGTATCAAAAAGATTGGGAACCATTGCTCTAAAGGTAGCACCCTCCCTCTTGGGTCAGCTTTCCCAGTATACAAATGGCTGGAAGTCCAATAGGGTTTATTTACCTTCCCTACTGAAGGCTGTAAAAAAACATTTGAAGGCACTTCCCCTGACTTTTCCTGCACCAGTTGCTAAAATTAGTTACACACTTCTGAAAGAAATCTCAGGAAAATAAACATTCATTTCATTATGTTTGTCAGCTTTAATCTTTAATTAGACTGGGTAATTTCTGTGAACTAAATAAGTTGCCTCATACTACAGCCTGAGGTTATTCCTCCTTTTTATTTATATCTCATTTTAGTATAGGCTTAGATTTGAATTTTCACAGTAGCATTTAATCACCATGGTAGCATTTAATTTCAGAAAGGGGAACTACAAAAAATCAGGATACTAGTTCAGCAGATATTAAAAGGTACAGTGCGCAGAGTGAAATCCCTGCAAGCCATATGGAAACTTTTTGAAGACATCATAATAAAGTATCAAATTTAAACGGTGAAATCCCTGCAAGCCATATGGAAACCTTTTAAAGACCTTATAATAAAGTATCAAATTTAAACCTATGCCCCCAAATTAAGAGACATCAAGGACAAAAAAGTGCCACCATGGCTAAACATAAAAGTAAAAGAAGCAGCGAGGCAAAAAGGCATCAAATACATCAAGAAGCTTGATAAACAGCCAAAAGGCCACTGGACAATTGAGATGCTAAAGGAGCACTCAGGGATGCTAAGGCTATTACAGAGAAGTTAAATGGATTCTTTGCATTGATCTTCATGGCTCCAGATATGAGGGAGATTTCCCAGTCTGTGCCATTCTTTTAAGGTGACAAATCTGAGGACTATCCACGACTGAGGTGTCATTATAGGAGATTTGGGTACAGATTGATAAATTGTAGTAAGTTAACAGGACCAGACAGTGTTTCCCCAAGAATTTTAAAAACTCAAATGTAAAAAAAAAGGGTACAGATTGATAAATTGTAGTAAGTCATCAGGACCAGACAGTGTTCACCCAAGAGTTTTAAAAACTCAAATGTAAAAAAATAAGTCATCACATTAGCTATTCTCCAGTCATCTGGTACAGAAGCTGATTTAAATATCTGGTTACATAACAGTTAATGGTTCTGCAATTTACAAGGCTCCAGAGGCGATCCCAGCAATTTCAGATTGGAAAGCCCAACTTTAGTACAGGGCAAATTGATTGATTGAAACGACAGGTTGGACTTCCTGGTCCAGCACCCTTGGGACCTGAGTGGTCCTGAAGGAGGATTTTGTTAGACCAGGGCAGGTCATTTCTGCCCCTCAGCCTGGTTCTGCTACTTGCCTGGCCTTCTAGCGGGCTCACAATGTGCATCCAGCCCTGCCATAGCAGCCTATGTCCCTCCACTAGAGCTTTCAGCTTCATTGTGGCAAACCCATTGCCCCACCCCCTGTGCTCCCAGCCCTACTGGCTCCGCTGCAGCAGACTGCTGTTCCACCGAATCCTGCTGGCATTCTAGCTACTCTGCCACGGGCTCAGCTGGATTCCTGTGGCAGGGCTCCCAGCCGCTGGCTTCCTTGCAGCCAGCCTGGCTGGGTTCCAGGCCCCTGCAGAGCTCCTGCCTCTAGCACTGCACCAAGTCTCTCCAGTCCAGCAGCACCTGTGGTTCTGCTGGACCATGGATGTTGTTGAACCAGAAGTCTCGGTTGAGAGAGATTCAACCTGTATAATAACAGACTTGTCAAACACAAATAAATATTATTTGTTGGGAAACAGCCAATTACCTCACTCACCTTGATTTGATGTTCCTGTTTTGCGTTTATGGAAACTGAAGCAAAAGTTAAGGGCCAGATTCTTTATGGAGCTTAGGTGTGATGGAGCTGAGCATTTCCATATCTAACTTTTAAGAGCCTAGAAAATCACTAGCATGCGCAAAGCCTTGGATAGGCACCTGGGTTCTCTATATGGTGAAGGGGGGGAGATCGCAGCCTCAGAATGGGATTCACAAAAGACAGGATGCTCCTTACTTAAGTTGCCCATAGGGGAATTGTTGTCAAGGCAAATGGGGTGTGCTAAGCCTCCCCCCTTTGTACACAGGTGCTTAAGTCCAGGCTGTATGGAGATGCTCAGGGAGATTCCTCTCTCTGCTGCAAACTCTCAGTGATTAGTGCCTATGTCATTTTATCAAGAAGCCAGGGAGAGGGGGAGAAGGAGCACTCACGTAACTCAGTCTAGTAGGGAGGGTGGGGGACCCTTTTTTTTGGTCAGGGGCCACTGACCCACAGAAAAATCAGTTGGGAGACCCACACAAGTAATAAACCCTCACTGTGGCCCCTGACAGAAGGAGAAAGACACTCCCCGGGGGGGCAGCCTAGTAGATCTTGTGTGCTCCAGCCCTGTAGAGGGTAGCAGGGGGGCTTGAGCACCAATGTGGGCTCCCCAATGCTGGTGGGGGAGGCCCTGAACCTTAGGTTGTATCCAAACAAGCTGGAGGCCAGGGCCTGAGATTCCCCACCCCTGAGTTATGGAATTCACCTGGACTGTGGGAGACAGGCTGGTTCAAAAGCCCCTCTGCAACTGAGAGAAGGGATTTGAACAGAAATCTACTTCTCAGGTGAGTGCTCTGCTAAGTGATGAAATTTTCTCCTGTTTAAGCTGTTCATCTTTGACTGTATGAGTCACTGGGCCACACACGCACACAGCAAGCAACAGAATGACTCTGTTGCCTTTAAGCTGTTCATCTTTGACTGTATGAGTCACTGGGCCACACACGCACACAGCAAGCAGCAGAATGACTCTGTTGCCTGGTTGTTTGGTTGTTAGGGTGCTCATCTGGCAGACGAAAGAACCAAGATTCCACTTCCCTCCTTTAATGACTTAATGAAGCACTCCTCCTCCACCCTTTGGGGCTAGTCACTGAGCCCTGAAACTGCCTTTGGATTGGGCCTTACAGACTAGTTAAGTGGAGGAACGCCTATCTTCCCACAGTTTGTGCATCATATTGGGGCCATAGTACACATGCTCATGGCCACCTAGGAAATTGTATAGGGCCATCCCTATTGGGCAGGGGGGAGGTGTATGGCCCAGGGAAACCTCTTCACACCTCAGGATCTGCCCCCTACCCTGCCCCTATTCTGACTCCACTCCTTCCCCTAAGACTTAACTCTTCCCACTCCTGCTCCACCTCTCCCACACCCTTTGCACCTCTTCCTTGAAGTTGCCTCCCACGAGAGATGTGATGACCTGGGGAATTACCAGGGCGGAGAACCTGCTGCAGGATGGCAACAGAGGTCAGGCTCCCAGCAATCACCATAGTGAAGACAATGCAGAATGTTCCAACCCCAGCTCTGATCCCCAAATCCTATCCAATCCTATTTCATCCTATGGGGTGGCCTTTCCCAGATGGAGCAAGGAGAGGTGGCAGGAGCCTCTGCAGAGCTTCCAGCTGTCCCACAAGCCTGAGCGTTCGGCCTTATTAACCTGACAGATGGAGCAAAACTTGCAGGACTTTATCAGGGAGCAGAGCAGCAACACCTGCAACAAGTAGTGAATCCTGGGGAAACCTCAGAGAGGTCTGATGGATACTGCATCAACTGTACACTCATACAGAGGGGGCTGGTAAAACTCTGCTGGATTATTGCAGGTGCTTGAATGGCTCTGGAGTGTATCCATGGGGACACATGGTGCTGTCCAATGGTCCAGGTACCTCTAGAAGTGTGGGGCAACTTTTGGGATGGTAGAGGGATTGCCATACCTAGTGGTGTTAGGAAGGGCCTGGGGCCCACCACCCAAAGAGGAAAGGAGAGGGGCCCCCAAAGAAAGGTATGGGGTCTCCTGGACTAGGGAGAAAGGGGAGAAAAATTCTCATGAGAGTGAACAAAAGAACCCTAGTCACTGGAGCCCAAAGGGAGGAGACCAGAGGAAAGACTGTATGGTGGAGATAGCCAGCCCACGCCCCTTTGAGGGAAAGAATGGCATCTGGATCTTCCCACAACATGCCATCCAGTGGAGGGACACAGACCCTGCTTAGGGTTTTGTGGAAAACTGATGCTCAGAGAGTATCACAGGAGAAGAGGATTAAACCTGACCCTCTATCTGGAGTAAAGGTGGTACAGGAGAAAAGGGACACTGGCAGGGATGAGGCAATGACCTGTGGGCGGAGGTGGAATTATGAGGGTGTTCTTC